GGATGGATGGATAGATGGATGGAAGGATGGATGGATGGATGGATGGAAGGAAGGATGGAAAGGTGGATGGATGGATGGATGGATGGATGGAAGGATGGAACGGTGGATGGATGGATGGAAGGATGGAAGGATGGATGGATGGATGGATGGAAGGGTGGATGGAAGGATGGATGGAAGGAAGGATGGAAAGGTGGATGGATGGATGGATGGATGGATGGATGGGTGGATGGATGGAAGGATGGAACGGTGGATGGATGGATGGATGGAAGGGTGGATGGAAGGATGGATGGAAGGAAGAATGGAAAGGTGGATGGATGGATGGATGGAAGGGTGGATGGAAGGATGGATGGAAGGAAGGATGGAAAGGTGGATGGATGGATGGATGGATGGATGGAAGGATGGAACGGTGGATGGATGGATGGAAGGATGGATGGAAGGGTGGATGGATGGATGGATGGATGGAAGGGTGGATGGAAGGATGGATGGAAGGATGGAAGGATGGATGGATGGACAGATGGAAGGACGGATGGACGGGTGGAAGGATGGATGGATGGACGGATGGATGGAAGGATGGATGGATGGATGGAAGGATGGAAGGGTGGATGGAATGATGGATGGATGGAAGGGTGGGGGGATAGACAGGAGGAAGATCCGTAATGACTAGATGAGGAGACGATCAGTAGTACTCAGAGCCAAGGTCATAAGGTGGAGGGCTGTTACCTGTACACCAGGGTGATGCAGGTGATAAAGAAGGCTAGGCCCACAGTGAAGAGGTAGGCCAAGGGCATGCTGTAGGGCAGGCTGTCGGCCTCGCGGCTGCACTGACCACCCCCCGAGGGGGGCACACACGGCTGGCTCACTGTGCTGTTACTGTAGTAGCCGTAATACAGGACAGTGTGGGTGAAGCGGCCCTGCAGGGAGGAGGCCCCGTGCAGTCAGGGACTCTCCGCCTTCCCATCCCTGACTCAGCCTTGGGCTTCACGAGGCAGAGGGAGGGCACCCACGGGGGCAGGGCGAGGAGAAGGGCAGGGCAGGGGCAGAGAGGAGAGCACAGAGGTAGACAGAGGGCCACAGCCATCCCGGGGCTCCCCGGCCCCCCTGGACTCAGGGCAGGACGGGTATCAAGAAGAGGCTGGCTATAGCCCCCCGGGGAGTCCCGGCACAGACAGGGGCGGGGGCTCCCCGGGGGAAGCCATGCCAAGTGGGCAGAAGGCAGGGCGCCCGCCTGCAGATGCCCCCGGCCCCCCCACGGCTCCCTCGCCCTGAGGGAGCCCTCACCCCGCCGGTGAGCAGCTCCAGGCCCGTGAAGCTGGGGACAGAGCCCGGGGGCGCTGGCGGCGGGAAGGCCGCCTGCACGCCCACGATGAAGGCCAGCAGCGGCAGCAGCAGGAGGGCGTTGAAGGCCAGCAGGGTCTTGAGGAAGAGGAAGTAGGAGAGCACGCTGGAGCCGAACTGGCCTCCAATCTGCTTCAGGGCGTAGTGCCACGGCCTCAGGGCGTGCAGACCCCCGAGCAGCCCGAGCCCCAGGTTGTGCAGGGCCTGTGGGCACAGAGGCAGGAAGGGAAGGGGCCCGCCCTGATCTCCCCTGATCTCGCGTGGGGGCGGGGGGGGGTGCAGGGGAGGCCAGGCTTGGAGGTGCGGGGGCAGTGGAGGGCGCTGCGGAGGGGAGGGCGGGTCTGAAGGCTGCGAGACCCCACACACAGGACAGGCACAGAAGAAAGGGGGGGCCACCCCACCCCCGCCCGGCCGCCCTGGGCGCATCCCAGACAGGAGGGTCCTACCAGGACGCAGGCATCTCGGAGCCGGCCACAGCAGGGGAAGAGCCCATGCGGGCCCTGCCGGCCCCTCTGCTTCTCCTTCGGGGTCTGGGTCTCCTCTCTGGGGGCATAGGCCGCATCAGGGTGGGACCAGGGATGTACCCGACTCCCCCCTGGGAGCCACCTGCGGCATGCTCAGGGCCCTTCTCACCGACCGCCCAGCCCCAAGGAAGTGGGTCTCGAGACGGCCCGAGGCCGACGGGCACTGACCGCAGGCAGCGTTTCTCGGCCAGGCCCAAGGGCATTCCCCGGAGCATGTGGTTCCGCTGGGCCACCGGCAGGCCCTCCAGCTCCTTCACCAGGAGGAAGCGCTTCTCTACAGAGGATGGGGCTCTGTCAGTTCCCCGCCACACCCTTCCCTTCCTCCCTCCCTCACTCCTGCACCTGTGCCCATGACCCTGGACAAACCTGTCTGCCCCTGCCGGCCACCCCAACGCAGACCTCTGCCCACCCTCCCAGGTCTGGACGGCTGCTCTCTGCCCGTACCATCCAAGCCAGACCCCGCCGTGCCTGCCGGTCTTGCTCCACTAGCTGTCTTCACTACCCCCCTCAGCCTATGAGCCCGGTGCCCCTCCTCCTGCACCCTAACTCTCCTCCTGGGTCCCCTCAAGCATCTTGTTCTGACCCCCAATGCACCTGAGCCTCACCCGCCCCCCTGCTCAGCAGTGATGAGGTCCCAACCCCATCCCCTAGCACTTCCCACTATGCTCTTGTGGGGTGATGGGGGGGCCTGTAGATCCACCCCTCTCTCTTTCCCACCTTCGCTACCAGCCTGGGAGGGGGCACCACTTCAACCCCAAGTGACAGACAAGGGGACACCTGGCCAGGCCTGCAAAGCGAAGCTGGCAAGCTGCCCAGAGCCCGCTCCTCCCTGCCCTGTCCATCCCCTATCACAGGGCCTCCACTAAACTGGGGAGGACACAGACAGGACCCCTGCACAGTGCCTGAGCTCCAGGCACCTGAACGCCACAGTTTACCTGGTTGGAGACCGACCCGTGACACTGGCTCTGCTATGAACACTGTCCCTTGCCCTCTAGCACCTCCACACCCACCTCCCACCTCAGGGCCTTTGCACGTGCCCCTCTGTTCTAGTGTCACTTCCTCCAGGAAGCTTCCCTGGATCCCTGTCCTGCCACGTGCCTTTCCTCAGTCTCCCTCGTCTGAGCTTGAATGTGCTCTTCCATTTGGTTGGTTCCCATCTGTTTCACTGGGCAGAAAACAAGCTTCAGGAGAGCTGGACCTGGTCCGCTCACCACCATCCCAGCCCAAAGCTGGGACCAGCGTGTGCAACACGAGTGCTCAGCGCGGGACGTTTCAGGGGCGCTGCCTGATATGGGCCAAACCCTTCACGGCCCAGCCGGCCCCCGCTGCTCTGCGCTCCCCCCCCCAGTCTGGCCGGCCTGAGCTCCTCCCCACCGAGGAGGCCGCAGGGCCCACTGGCTCACCCTCCTCCTGCAGGGCCGCGGGGTCCAGCTCCAGGTCGTAGAGGCGGAGGCTGGGCCGCGCCGAGCGCCCCACGCCCTTGAGCTCCGGCCGGCTGACCCTGCGCCGCAGCCGCACCGAGCGGTTGTAGTACTGGCAGATGACAGCACCGCGGCTCCGGCCTAGGGGGGGGCGGTCAGGGGCAGCCCGGGCCGTGCCTCCCTGCCCCCGCCCCTCCCAGGGCCCACGGGGTCCCTTTACAAGAGGCCTCAGGCACCACTGGGTTCCCAAGCGCCTATTTTTATCCCTGTGACTCTGGAGTCGTTTTTGGAACCCAGCGAGGCGCATGGGGCTGTGCCGGGCGTCCCGGCAGCGGGCGGCAGGCTGGGGGGCGACGGGCCCGGCCCCGCGCTGCACAGACCCCCGTCTGAAACCCCCGCCGCCCAGGCGAGGCTAGAGGAGCTCACTCACCGATAGTGCGACTGGGCATGCTGGCCAAGACGCGGAGCGTGGCTGCGCTGTGCGCAAGCGCATCCTCGGGCCCCGGCAGGGCGTGCTGGCCACAGCCTAGGAAGCAGAAAGACTCGTCCGGGCGTCCTGGAGACACGGCTGGCCAGCCAGCTCCCCCACCCAATCCCCACCCCAGGCCTGCAGTGGGCAGGGAAGGCTCAGTGCCCCGCCCACAGCATCAGGGAGGGCTCACCTGAGGTCTTCGGGCCTCCAGCCCCCGGCTCCCTCTGCTGCAGCTCCAGACCCTCCTCAGCCACCCACTGGCTCTGCTCCTGGATGAGCTGGTGGAAGGAGTCATGGACTTCATTCTCATCATAGGGGCTGGGCTCCTGGCTGCTGGGATGAGAGGGGGGCGGGAGCTCAGGATTCGGCTGACCCAGCCCTGCCCCAGCAGGGACCCCTTCCATAGGCCCTGGTCCAGGTGGCCTCTCCCAGGAAGGGGGCGGAGGGGGGGGGGAGGGGAACGTCTCTGCCCTCCGGCCTCCCCAGCCCCAGCGCACTTACCTGTGCTCCTCTGGGGTCTCGGGAACATTGAGGACAAAGTTCAGCGGCTGGGCCATGTCTGTGACCCACGCCCAGCCGGTCTGCAAACCTAGAGCAGCTCAGAGCCCCGGCGCAGCCTCCAAAGCCTCCCGCTGCCCATCTGATGAGACAGGGAGTGGTGTACCAAGGTTGGCCCTCGGTGCCTGGTGCCCCGCCAAACTACCCACTCCCTGGGGGCCGTGGGGGGTGCCCACAGCCTAGGCCGCCTGAGCCCCTGCCTGCCCTCATCCACTGCCAAACATGTGGTCAGGTTAGTGACCCCAAATAAGCCTCATGCCAGAATGGACCAAGAGGGAGTCCCTTCCACTGCTTGAGGGAGAGCGGCAGGAAGAAGGGGCTTCTGAGCAGTCCCCATCGGTTTCCTCTATGGCGCCAGTCCCTGGGAAGGCGGAAGGGGGTGCGTGTCTGTGGGCACAGCCCCAGGTATCCACCGCCCTCCTGGTGAAGAAGTTCAGGGCAAGCTCCCAGACCTTCCTGTGCCGGCCCTGTAACCCCAGAGCACTTCCTCTCACAGGAAGCCCCTCCCACGGCTAGCCCCTCCCACAGCTAGCCCCCCCCCCACGGGGGGCGGGGCTCCTCCAGCGGACCGCCACCCAATGCTGCTGGCCCTCACCTCCCCAAACAGGGATCACTGCCCTCCACACTGGGCTGGGCTGGGGCGCTGCAAGGTCACCAGTTCTCAGGAGACCAACTCCCCTGCATTCCATCACCCCAGGGGCGGGCCAGGGCAGCTGGCTGGGGGAAGGGAGCCTGGGCGTTAAACAGGCCGCCTTTGTGCAGCCTTTGTCCAGGCAGAGGGCTCTGCCATCGTCTGGGACAACTGGAACCAGGGCAGCCTTGTCTGGGCTCTTCACCCTGTGGGAGTGGCCCAGGGCCCAGCCCTGCGTCTGCCCTGTCTTCGGTCTTCCTCCACCCTGTTGTCCCCCTGGGGGGATCTCAGCATTCAGAAAAGTTGGCTCTGCTCAAGGGGGCCTCCTGGGGCAAGGCCAGGATGCCCAGTGTCCTCACTTAGGGGCATGCAGGACGTCCAGTCTCTGAACCCAGGCCCCACACCATCCAAGTCCCTTCCGCTCCCTCCAGCAGGGGCGGGGGAAAGGGGGGACCAGCAGAGAGATGATGGGTCGGTTGAATCGGGAAAAGAGCTGGAGGTGAAGCTGATGATGTGCCCCCCAATCCTGTCCCTAGAGCTAGAATCCCTTCCTCCGCAGACCCTCAAGCCTCTCCCACACACCCCTTTGGGGGGCGGGGGTAGGTAGTGGGGAGGTGGGAGCTGTTCAGAGGCTTGGAATCCGGCAGCCTGCCTAGGGGTAGGGGCTCACCTGGGCTCACCCAGGCACTGCCTACGACTTCTGCCCAGCTGACACCCAGCGCCCGGACAGCCGACCCCAGGCCGGGGCAGGTCCGGCAGAGTTTCCGGGGCACACCATTCCTGAGCCCTGAGCCAGGTGGGGAGGGGCAGGGTGGGGCGCGTCTCCAGGAACCCCACCCCGGCCGGCAGCGAGTCCTCTGGGAGCCGCAGCTGCCCGGGAAGGGCCGCAGCCCAGCCGCGGAGCCCAGGGGCGGCAGCAGGGCCGGGCGCCCCTCGACCCCTCTCCGCGCCAGCCTCCCGCTCCCCCGCCCCGGGCCAGTGGTACCGGCCCGCGCGACCCGGCCGGCCCCGGGGCGTCACCACTGCCCTCTCCGCTGGGGCGGCCGGCCGGGAGGCGTCAGGCCTTTGGCGCGGGAACTCCCCGCCCCGTGGCCCCGGGGGCCCCAGGGAATGGGGAGCGGGTGAGGCGGCCGCCGCAGGGGAAGTGGCTGGGCCGGGGGGACCCGGGCACCGCCCCCAAGCCCAGGGCCGCGGCTCCGCCCGGACCGGCACCCCGATCCCCGCCGCTTACCTGGGAGGCGCGGGGGAGGAGGGGCCCTGCGCGCCCGCCAGTCGCTCACCTGTCCCCGGAACCGCGGTCCGGGCTCCACCACCTGGGGGCAGGGGCGCGGGGTCAGGGGGAGGGAATGACGGGGGGAGGGCCCAGGGGGCGACCTGGGACCGCCGCAGGACTGACGGGGCCCGAGGGAGCTGCGCCGCCCAGCCCCCGCCCACGTGGTGGCGGGCCTCCGGCGTCACGTGACCCGGCGCGCCCCGCGCCCTCGGGCGACCTTGCCCTCTCCCTGCCGACTTCCGACCCCGTCTCCACCTCACCCCGCCGTCTGAGCTGGGTGCGGACGGCCGAGCGTCTGGGTCTACTCCAGTCTCAGTCTGAGTCCAGTGTGTCAGTGGGACTCAGTTTCCCCAAGTTTCAAATGGGGACAATAATTCCCCACCCGCCCATTTCCCAGGGCAATTATCAAAATAACACGCTGCTGCAAAGCCCCACTGATACAGCGCCTTTCGACACTGGATTGGGTAACCCTTTCCTCCACACAACCTCCTGCTGACAAACGACTTCCCAAGCAGGCTCAGGACCCGGGTTATCACCCCCCTCTGGTCCGGGTGTGGTTTCTGTCACCGGTCAGACCACAGTTCTGGCGCACTTCCTGTGTGCTAGGTGGGGAGGAGGGGCAAGCCCCAGGAAAGCCTGACACTGTGACTGTCCCCTCTGCTGGTTTCTTAGTTACTCCCATAAGCCAGGGAGGTGGACACCTACTCCCTGCTTCACAGATGAGCAAACAGGTGGTGACGTTCATCAGCCCCTTGGGGTGTCCTCTGCCAGGGCTTGAGTCTGGTCCACCCCGGAGCTCCACGAGAAACCTGACTTTAAGAAAGCCTGGCAGGTCAGAGGGGAGGCTCCCAGAGATTGGAATGAGAATGGGTGGGATTTGGACAGTGTGTGTGTGGGGGGGGACCGTCCAGGTGGGGGGAAGCCTTGAGAGGCAGGCAGGGTGGAGGGCAGAAAGGAAGGAGAGAGCCCTCCTGGAGGGGAGAACAGGTGGGCAAAGCCAGGATTCCCAAATGAAAAGATGTAATGCAAGTGGTAAAGGGGTCTGCAGACCTGAAGTTGGACAAAGTTGGAGGGGTCAGCGTTGGGGCTTTTTTTGCAGCTGTCAGTGGGGTCCTCAGATGGGTTACTTCGGGCTGGATCTTGGCACAAGGCACCTCCGCATGAAGACGGGGCCTGCCCAGCCCTTGCCTCTCCCCACACTGATGCCCCTCCCTGCACACCCTGCTCCAGCCATGTGGTACTCGCATGACCCTGGCCCAACTTGCAGGTCACCTCCTGTGGGAAGCCTTCCTGGATTGAACCCTGTTGGAGCCCTTGCCACTTCCTGTTGACATATTCTTTTGCTGGTCTGTTCACCCTGCCCCCACTCTCTGAGCCCACTGTGTGTTGGGCACCAGCACCCAGCTTGGAGCCTGGCATAAAGGAGGGGCTTGGAAAATGAGGGGATCCAGGCAGGGATGCAGAGAAGCTACCAGAACTCAGCTGGATGGACTGGGCCCTGAAGGAGGTGGAGAGGGAGCAAGGAGGAAAGGGGATCCCAGGAGAGAGAAACGGCCAAGATGGCTCTGAAACATCTTGCCTAGCAGGAACGAACGGCACGGATTCCTGAGCCCTTACTGTAGGCCAGTGACCCAGGTGGGAAGCTGAGGATTAACGCCAAAGGCTTCTGGAAACCGAGCAGCCCGAAGTGATGGGGCCCACCCATTCTGTCACTATCTCACTCTCCCCCGGGGACAATCTGCCACGGGCAGATAAGCGGCCAGGCCCCAGCTCGGGCTCCGCAGGCGTAAAGGGACCGAGCACGCAGGAGCGGCGGGGACGGACGGGCGGGACACCCCCCACCCCCACCTCCTACCCCCTGGACGACCCCGACCCCGCGGGCCCCACCTGCCCGCCTGCCCCGAGCGCCGCAGGAAGTGGGGGCCCCAGTGAAAGCGAAGGAAGCTGTCGAGGTGGGGGCGAGAAGTGCAGGGGGGAGGAGATGGCGGGAGAGCTGGGGTTCCTGTCATGTGACCCCTCCCCCGGCTCCCTCACAGTCCCGCCCGACGTGGCGGGAGCCGGTCCAACGAGGGGGCTCCTCCAGGGACTTGGTCCCTTGTCCCCAGGTGAGCTGGGTGCAGAGTGGGGGGAAGAGGCAGAGCACGAGGGGGTGAAAGAGAGAACCGAGGGGGTGGGGCTGCTGAGGGATGGGGGTTATGGCCGCCGCGCTAGGGTCCCCTCCCCAAGTCTGGGGGCTGTAGCCACGCCTCCTCATCTGCGGTTCCCCGGGGGGCGGGGCAGACCCAGTCCTGGGGGCTGGACCCCAGGTAGCAGGCGCAAGGGGGTCCCAGCACATCCAAATCCCGCAGGATATGGATTCTAGGAACTGTCAGGGTTTGGGACAGGGGCCTGTTCCCACTGGGAGAAGTAGCAAGGGGAGAAGAGCTGGAATTGTCTTGCCGAGGGGTGACCCCGAAGGCCTTTGGCCACAGGCAGCAGGTGTGACTGGGGTGCAGCAGCTTTGGACCCCATCGCACTTATCTGTGGCCACACCTGGCTTTGTCTTTGTCTGGGACAGTCCCATCTTTCCATGCCCTTTGGACCTTTCTCCCCATTGACAAACAGGGAAACTGAGGCCTCTGGCAGTGTGTTGCTTTGAGATGTGGACGGGACCCCGTCCAGATCTGCTCCAACTGAATTCTCTCTCTTCATCTCTGGCTGTGCCAGGGCCAAGAGCCTGAAGCTCACCCAGCAGGCACCCCACGTCCCTTCTAGGAGGTGGGGGATTGTAGCCCAGCGCCCCCAACCCCAACCCCATGGCAGAGATGCTGAGGCAGTGGTCAGTGCAGTCCGGCCAGGCCCTCGTGGAGCCAGAACCTGAGCCAGGGGCCGAGGAGCTATGGGAGCAGGAGATGGAGCGGCTGTGGTCCTCCCAGGCCCTGGTGCGGGAGCTGCCCTATGCCATGGTGGACAAGCGCCTCATCCGGTGGGTTCCCCAGGGCGGGACACGGTGGGGGCCAGATGGTGGGGGTGGGTGGAGCACCGACAGGATGCACCTGTTGGATGCGGGTGGAAGTCACCCGCAGTGGGAAGGCTCCTCTGGCCCTTGGCATTGCTCTGCCTGGCCTGGTGGGCACAGTGGGTGACTCAAGGCCGCCCCCGTCACCACCCCATCCCAGGCAGCTGCGGGAGCCCGAGGGGGTGAAGACCTCTTGCTGGCAGCGATGGCGGAGCAGGCGGCAGACTGCGGGACGGCGCCTAGGGGAGGCGGCGCAGCGGCTGGCCCGGGGCTTTGGGCTCTGGGAAGGGGCTCTCTACGAGATAGGGGGTAGGACCCGCACCCCCACCTCCCCCCTCCCCTCTCTGGAGTCTCAATGTCCGGTTTAGAAACCCGAGGCCACCATCCCGCTTGCCATTGTCCCTTGCGTCCCCACCAAACAACCCCCCCACCACCAAACAACGCCCCCCATCCTTTCACGCCCCCGTTTGGCCCAGAGCCGGGGCGCAAAACTAGGCAGATGACAGCACCCCCTGGTGGCTCTCAGAGGTACTGCTAGGGGAGCCTCCAGGACTCGGCCATTGATCCGAGGTCCAGGCAGGCCTGGTCACCCCCACCCTGCT